ATATATGTTTCCTCATGTAATACTGTAAATGGTGTCTACCTCTGTAGACATACTGTAGGTGTAACTGTTCCCAACATGGAGCATCTGAAAATCTGCAAGAGAATTAAACTTTAATAGGGACTATCATTAAATCATTTGCAGAACTCAGAGTGGTGGAAATGTGGGAAAAGTCAAAAGAAGAAAAACAAAATGGAATGTTTCCTCTTTATTTTTATAAAATTTTTAAAAAGCACTTTTAGCCAGTGTGTGTTTTTTTAAATTTCTAATTCACATAAAAAACAGAAGTTCCCCTGAAAATTTTCTAATATTTCATAAGGCAGTAATCTATATACAAGACTACAATTTATTTGGTTGTTCAGAGACCCTTCTCAATTTAACAACTTGAGAAATAAGCAATTTTAGTCCTCTTTTAGGCACAAAAGCTGGTGATGTTGGGCGAGTCCCTCTCTTTCATCCCAACCCAACTCACAGGCTTGGTGTTGTGGGGAAAATAGGAGGTAGGAACATTATGTATGCTGCCTTCTGTTATGCAAAATAAAGGTGGAATATTAAATATAATAATAATAACAACAACAACAATGAAAGCTATTTTGTTACTTAGTATCTGAACTTCCATCTATTTTAATCAACCATCCTCCCATTTCTTAAAATGGAGTTGTAAAAATCTTTGATTCCACTTGAAATAGGATCAATAGGATGAATACTCTAGAACAGTGTTTCTCAAGCTCAGTGACTTTAAGATGTGTGGATTTCATCTCCCAGAATTTCCCAGCCAGCATGCTGGCTGGGGAATTCTGGGAGTTGAAGTCCACATATCTTAAAGTCACTAAGGTCGAGGTATACTGCTCTAGAACTAAAATCTGAAAAACTTTGTAATGCATCCTTTTACAAAAAAAGAGGAAGAAATAACCTGCTAGAATGGTTTTCATCTTTATCTCCTAATCTAATCTTTATCTTTTTCATTTTGCCATCCTTACAAGTCCTTTTGGTTTTGTCCCCGAAGGGAACTTTGGAAATGTGATCGATGGAGTATCATCTGGAGCCAAAGGGAAAAAGAAGACCCATGAAGGTGAAGAGGAAGAAGGTGCCCCTTTATTGCATGAAGGAAAAGAAGAAGGTTCACATGACATTGCAATGCCTCTGATATCTACCACACCTCCTGAAAAGCCATTAATCACTGAAGGAAACAGGTAGATTCATATCTGTTAAATCTTCATCTCTTGCTCTCTCTAACCAGAACCCTTCAAATGACAGATAAGACTTCCTAAGCCAATGGGTTGACACATTCATTTATTTTATTCAATTTATCCCCGCCCATCTCCCGCTAATGGGGAGATCATTGAGCCAGGTTTATTTTTGTACAAGTTGTTGACTAAACCACTACTAATTGGGTTCATACTAACCCCAATGGCTGAGATTGTGCAACTCGTTAAGCCAAATATAAGTTGACTTCCTATAAGTAACCAAATTACCTAATAAGGGGGATGCCAACATCTTTGGGGGTGATCTAAATTGTTATGGAATCAGGGGCTAGTGAGGTGACTGCCACAGGGTGTTCAAGAGTAAAGGTCAAGAGCGAAGGTCAAAAAAAAAGTCAACATGACATCCACAACTCTCCCCTTCTTTAAATGTGATGCATGTAAAAATGGGTGGGTCTTCTACTACATGGTCCTGGCCATCCTCTTAACTTTTTTGATCTGTGGATGCTCCTGTCTGATAGCACAAGCTATAGTCTTGCTGTATTGGCTAATCATCCCAGTGAAATCATCTCCTCAGCAGTAAAGTTTAGAAGCAGCAATTGTTAAATATAAACCAGTGTCTTAAAGTGGTTATCAGATTACAGTGTTTTGATTTGAAACCAAGATTTGCAAATCATATTATATAGCTTGTCCTTCTCATGTACAGTACATATAATCCTCAGGGCAATTAACAGTTAAAACTAATACAAAACATGAAAATCATTTTTAAAAAGACAAAATGCTAAAATAAAAGCATGTGGTAGATAACATGCCCTCAAGACGAGCTCAGATCCTGTCGATTACAATAGGTGGACATAACCATTCCATTTTCTTGGCAGCATTATAGAGCTTACAGCCATGGAATGCTCTGGTGGTCTCTCTCTATAATTGTTATTGAAACTTTTAAACAAGAAGATAAAAGTTAACACAAACTAATATAAAGTAGGGGAAAGAAAGAAAAAGAAAGAAATCAAAGAAAAAGCAAAAAGTGCAAGAAAAGAAAAAAAGTTGAAGAAAAATAGAAAAAAGATATAAAGAACTGGCTTCCAGTATTCTTCACAGCAGTTATAAGTACAAATATATTTTAACTCTCTTTCTAAAGTTACATCTTATTATTTTTCTTTCTATAATCTATCCTATCTAATCATCAAAACCATAAATCACAAGTTTGTTTTTACGCAAAAAGTCCTTAAGAGGCTTCCAGTCATCAATAAATGCAAATAATGTCTTTTTTCTAATCAAAGAAGTCAATTTATCCATTTCAGCAACATCGATCAACTTCACCAATCTTTCCTCCATAGTGGGTAGTGTTGAATCTTTCCAGCTCTGTGCATATAGTAATCTCGCCGCAGTAATCATATACTGAAATAACTTTTCATGGTTTCTTTCCAACTATTTATCCATTAGTCCTAAAAGGAAAAGTTCTGGCTTCAGTTGAATATTGATCTTTAAAATCCTCTGTATCAGGAATGCTCTGGTGGTCTCTATTCCAAATAGAGACATAACCCTGCTTAGCTTCCAAATCTGGACAAGATTGGTCACATGCTGCAGTTTTCTGAAATGACATCCCAAATGTGATGCTTTTAATCAGTAATGAAAGACCTCCAAATAAGTTGCCAACTGGGCTTCTTGAAGGCATGGAGACCCATTGTTTAGGTGCCCCGCTGAGCACGCTTTTCCTGTTGTCACCATCAATCATGTCACTGCTATAGCTAAAAAGGCCCTTTTCATTAGAACTTAGGGAGTTTGGTCATCAAGTGAGCCCTTTTGACATCATCAGGATTGTAGCTATGTTAGAATCCCTTCTCTAGTCCTTGCATATTTCCTCAGACCCTTCACTGCTGTTGCAGTGGTAGTGGCAGAATTCTGTCTTCTCTTCATTTCTCTTTCCTTTTTGACTCTGTCATAAATAAATTAATTTCCAGCCGTAGAAAATGAGAGGACGAGAAAGAGACCAAGAAAGTCCTTAAATTGTCCTCAGGTCCTCCCACCCCTTGCCAGTGAGTGATGAGGTAGGAATTTCATTTCAGACTCTTTTTAATCAGGACATTGCTAAATGAAGAGTGCTTGAATTCTCAATTTTCTGGACTTTTTCACTGAATCAAAGAGTTGAAAGGAACTTCAGAGGTCATCAAGTCCTGCTCAGAGTAGGACCTATTAAACATTTAAGACAGACATTATCCATCCTCTGTTGGAAAATTTCCAGTAATTGGTGGCATACCATTTCATGAGGCAGCCTATTCCACTAGTTGACAGCACTTACCATCAGGACATTCCTTCTAATATTTAACTGAATCTACCTCTCTGTGGTTTCAATCCATTGGTTGTGTTCCTGAGGTGACAGAGAACAAGTTCACTCTGTCCTCTGTATCTTCAGATATGTGAAGATTGCTATCAAATCTTCCCTCAGTTGTCTCTTCTGTAGGCTGAACATACCCAGATGCTTTAACAGTTCCTCATAGGGCTTAGTTTTTAAATTCCTCACCTTTTATAGTACCCTCCTCTAAACTTGCTCCAATTTGTTGATGTCCTTTTTCAACTGTGCTTTCTTGACATCAGTGGGCTTTGCTGCCTCGACCAGAATGGGGATTGGTCCAACAGCATGTTATGTTTAGTTATTTATTTATTTAAATTTATTGGCCACCTGACTCCAGTGGACTCTGGGTGGCATACCAGACTAGAAAAAGTAAAAGCAGCTAGAAGCATTAAATCAAAGAGACAGCCCAGATTAAAATAATCTACTTGACAGCAAAATCAACTGAACAAAACAGGGGCCATTGAACAAATAACAGACATCAACCCCAGGCCTGGGACCAAAACCAGGTTTTGAAAGCTTTCCAGAACCCCAGGAAAGAGGGTACCAAAATCTTCTCCTAATGGCATCTTCAGCTGGATCAATCCAATTCATCTTCCTTCTAGTTAAAAAATAAAAATTAAAAATAGGATTTCTTTAACAAATGCCCCCTCCCCCTGCTTATTATATAACTGCTCTTTCTGGAGCATCATTTGGAAGTTTATCTCTGCGTGATGTGATACACTTGATGCATTTCAATTAGTCCAGGGAAGGTTAAGAAGTAGCAGCCTGGAAACACTTGGGTATCTGAAAGGAAAACTGTTGAACAGATGGAAAATGTTAAAGCTGCAAAAGAGGCTGCCTTGAAAATATCGTTCCCACCCAGAGAGCAAGCTGACAGCACAAGTCTTCCAATGAACTCATCAGTCAGTGTGCCAGATTGAGGGTGTATTTCACAAAACTGAACTGTCTAGAGTCTGTGTTTGAGGGGAATGGTATTTTTTAAGCACAAGGAATTTCTAAGCTCAGATGTATTTCTTTTATTTATTTATGTCCACTTATAGGGGCACTTATCAGGCAACAATGACTCTGGGTGGCTAACATAACATTTGAAGGAACTTGTTGTCAACAATAGCTGCTATCATCAATTTCTTTGAAAATGTATTGAATGACTTTGCACTGGACCAAGGTGTTCTGAACATAATGGTCCAGTCTAACCATGATATAATATTACCTTAACTGACATCAGCTGATCTGAAAAAGATAAGCAAGGGGAGATCTGGCTAGAGGTTGGATGGGAGATTACCTAAAAAAACTCCAGAAGTGTAGGCTAGACCAGGAAACAAAAACAAAGCCAATTCCATATTATTGACAGGGAAACTAATACGAATGTATTGCATCCATGAAGTTGCCAGGAGTGAAGCTCAGCTCAAAAAAGAGTTTGTCCTTTTCAATGCATGGAAATCAACTGGCTCTGTATTTTCATGTTTGTGTGTTCTGCAGTACCTGCAAACTGTTTCATAAATCAAAAGAGGGAAAGAAAAGTTGTTACTGTCTGGTATGATCGGGAGGGAAGGAAGGAGGCAGAAAATTGAGAAGTGGGATACCCAGGGGCTATTTGGGAATCCCAAAGAGCATTTTGACCAGGGCCTTCTCAAACCCAGCAGTATCAATGATCGTAATTGAATGAGAGATAGTTTAATTAAAAAAAAGGTAATTCTTTTATGACTACTTACAGATGCTAGATTTACATGACCTTGTGTGTGATGTCCCTTGGGAAGTGGATCTCAAAATACCAATGAGCTTTCTTCTCTTTCAACAGAAACTACCTTTACTTGCCTTATGGTGAGAAGAAGCCTTGTGTCTACGTCAAGAGCTTTTGGGGGGATCAAATCTTTAGGCTGTATTTCTCAAATATCCTGGAAAAAATGGGAGATCTCTTGGTAAGTCTGGGGAAATGCTGACGTTTGAGCCACACAGAGAGAGTGTCTTTCTGAAACTACTTTCAGTTGACCAGTCAAATCAATTGTTTCAACTTCTACTGATGGAAAGCCACGCAAGGCTTTGTAGTTATTGGACCACTTAACACTGGCAAAAGTGAGGGGCCTTTTCTGGCTGGTTTGAAATGCTGGATACATATTGGGGGTGATGTTTACAAAATGATTATTGGGGGTGGGGGGTAGGATACCTATTCAGAAAATGGTTGCATGGAGGACATAGCCAGTCGCAGTATCAGAATTTTAACCCGTGCTTTTGGTCAACCTCCTGCTATTTACCAGTGACCATTTTTGGAACAGATAAGCATACTTGCAATCAGAACTCTGGCCTGCAAAACCCACAATTTTTTATGTTTTAAGAAACTCTGAGACATTCTTGGAAATAAAAACAATGCTGGAGGCTGGCTCTTTGCTTTCCAATATGCCCCTTTGCTGATTTTTAAAAAATATTTTTAAAGTTGAAAGTTGGGTGGATCAGAAAACCTGATGGGTCCCACGAGAGGCATCTGTAGGCCCATTCACCTCTCTGTCATCTGAAGATCCCAAGATTAGATGCTCACTTGTATTCCAGATGCCTGGTCTCCACATGTTCTCTTCTAACATAGCTAGAAAGGAAAACAACAGCAATGTAAGCTCTTTCATTCAGTGGTCTGTTTATTCATATATCTGAAAGGAATAACATAAAGTTGACGTAGGTTAGCCTATCTCCTTAGGGTCTATTAACATAATCTAATCAGAATTCATTAATTCATTAATGCCTGCAAAGGACAAAGTACAGGAAAGATGCTTGGGAAGGAATTTGGATTGCAAACTGGGTTGAAGGAAAGATAGTAATGGATTATCCTTGACATACAATGGGCCGAGTGCCCAAGGCCTGCAAAGTTCCCAAGGGTCTCCAGAAACATTTTGGGTCCCAAATCTCAGATGTTTCAACATGAGAGAGAGACACACACAGAGAGATGACCCCTATCTAGGTTATTGGCTTCTGCCAAAAATCAGTTTCCTTCAGATCGTGTTAAAATGATGCTCCAGAGTATAGGGCTCAAGAGGTTAAATGGCCTGTGAGATGTTATTGTTACTGTTGAATGTTCAAGGGGTTTGTTCTTATGCTTTTGCTGTTATTGGGTTTTTGGGGAATTGTATGTATGTATGTATGTATGTATGTATGTATGTATGTATTTATTTATTTATTTAATTTGGACGCCGCCTAATGTGGTGTTATCCATTCAGTTGCATTTGCAAGATGGGTAGCCATATGAATTGATTAAATAAATAAATGAATGAATGAATGTATAAATAAATAAATAAATAAATAAGTTTTTATAATACTGCAGTTTCTCTGCGGTACACTCATTTCTTATGGGAAATCTTTCTATTAATTAAATTGTACTGAGTCCAGTGAGAAGGAACTGATTCATTCCCTCTCTAGTAAAAGTACATTATGTTTGTATACCTATTAGGT